CTTGTCGTCTGCCTGTTTAATTAATCACCCGGATCTCCATCAACTGCTAAATGGTGTGTTGTTTGTGTGTGTGTGGGGGGGGGGGGGTTCTTTGCAAAATAAAGTAATGCAAAACGAAATGCAGGGAGGGGAGAAGAAAAAAAGGGAGGAGGGGGTTACAAAAGAATGAAGAGGAAATGAAGTCTTGTTAGATACCAAAAAATATGCTGGGTATTTCTTTTTCAGAATGTGGAGGTCGGGGAATAGAAAACCAAGGGTCGTTTATTTTGCGGGGTAATGGATCTCGGGAGATGTGTATTATCAACAAAACAAAGCTTAATCCCAGGGAGGGGGAATAAGGAGGAATTAAAACGTGGGAAAGTGGCTTGAAATAAGGGTAGGATTGTGTGGTTGGTGGTGGGTGAGACGAAGCTTTTCTTTTTTTTAAAAGGTCCGTGTACTTCCACCACCCTCTGATAAAATGTGGTTGTGGGATAAAGGATAACAAGGTGGAAAAAGGGGGGAGTAGTGGAATAGGGGAGGGTAGGTTTAAAAAAGTGAGGAGGGGGCAATTTGAGGGGATCGGGGAGACTGATTGTCATGCTTGGAACTGAAATCGTGACTTACCAGGCACGTGGAGCTTGTTGAATGTATGGATTATAGACTGCAGTTTGTCCACATTGACGGCCGAAAATCCAGCAACGGGCCGAGATCCGGCTCGCCCGCTTGTAAGAGAATTACTAGGTGGCTCTGATAGTTGAGCCATGGGGTTTGTTGGAGGTGGGAAAGGGGAAAAGGGTGAGGGTGGGGGGTACAGACAATTGAAAGATTGCGGTTGAAGGGTAATGGAAGATTTTTTGGAGTGGAGGGGGCGTTGAAAGAGGGGAACGGGAGTGGAGGAAAGGAGCAGAGGATGTCAAGTTTTAGTTTTAATTTAATAAGAGTTGAACAACATTTGCAACACAATTAAGTAATATAAGTGCCAAAGATTAGAGGTGTTGCATGAGAGTAACGAACATAAAAAGGAGAAGAGATGAGAAACAGATGTTTCACAGAAAAGAAGGAGAAAAACACACTAGAGCACCCGTCAGTCACCCACTAAGCACGGGGTGCAGACGAGTGGGGGGTGGTGGTTGAAAAATCTAATGGGAGATTATTTTTTCAGGGTACGGAAGAGGTGGGCAAGGGAGTGGAGCAACAGAGCAGAGAACATCAAACATTCAAAGTTTCAAACATTCAAAGTTGCACATAACTAGACTGTTTATGACATAATAATACATTTTCAGTTAGTATGATTGTCTGGAGTATACACCATCAATGTTACTTTGCAGACAAATGTTATGACCTGCTAGCAAAAGCACAAGATAACGTTTTGGGATGCTCTTTCGTATGATGTGACCTTTTAAATTTAAGATTTAAAAACAGTACGTAAATCCTAATTAAAACTAAGAAACCAGTAGGCACAAAACCTCTCAATATCAATAACGTGGAATCACTCAAACCTAGGTTCTTAACTGGTTTTTTCGCACACTCGAAAGACAGATGTTCTTAGAAATTAACTCAAATTAAATTAAGATTTGAAGACCTATAAAAAGTGTAAGTTTGCAGGTAAGTTTAAATAACGTCTTGAGACTCACTGCGCGAATAAAGTGTTGGTGTTCAGCGTGCGGCATCAAATTGCAAAAATCTTGTCATACTGAGAACAGCAGACTGTTCACGAACTAAAAGGAGAGGATGTGGTGATGACAATTTCAAAAATCCTACTCTTCACTGTTGGTGGTCTAATGAAGATCTTCATATTTCTCTGACCTTAGCAGGCGGTTTGAGGGCGCCACTGATAGGTCCTACATCTTCTTCATTTCCCCTCTGTTGCTTCTGACTGTCTTATTTTTTCTTAGACTTAGATGTCCATTGGTGTGACGATGATCTGATTTTAGACGGATGTCAGCGAATTAGGATAAGTTTTTAAGATTTTACACCTCCATCGACGCGAGATTTCTTTTCTATCTTTTAGCCTGCCGTTTATTTACTCTGCTTAAGGTCAGCTCAGACTGAAAAGAATGGGAGATCACAGTACAAATTTGGCATTGGCCTTTGCAGAGTTTTAGTGCCCTTTTAAATACTGTAATGTTATTTGCGGGAGGGGGGAGGGGACTCCGAATTTATCGTCCATTCCCTATAAAACACAGCTTTATGGGTGGAGAGCCAAAACAGCTCAAATTCAAAATGGCCCCTTTATGGATTCGATCCAGGGCTGTCCGCTCAGAATTCCAGAATGATACTAATAATTGAGCTAACTGTGACACTGCAAAAATTTGGAGACTCAATAAAATAAACTTCCTCACGTCATTAGCGCGCTGGACAAAGAACCTAATCATTATATCCCATGCACCTGTGGCAAAGTGTGGAAGACTTTGTGCACAAATTGAGAGAAAAGAGACGAACTGCTTAATGACATTAATAATAAAATTCTGTGGCGAATAGATGTTTCGAGATCTGCACCATGCCTTGGTGTCCGGGCGTTATTTCTAGACTGCGTTTTGGGTGGCTGGAGGGTGGCCTGGTGTTGTTTGCTCCTTCCTATCTATCGTCTTTATCATTTCTTGTTCTGTGTGTGCGTATGTGTATGTGTGTGTGTGTGTTTGTCTATTTGTTTGTTTGTTACTCTCTTGCTACACCTCAAATCTTGGGCATCTATATGACCTAACTGTGTTGCAATGGCCGTTAACTCTTGCTAAAAAGACTGACGTTCAAAACAACCTTGTCCTGGGTTCACCACTTTCAATGCAGGAAACAGCATGTGGCCTACACAGCAAGAACGAAGGTGCCCTCGTTGATATACGTACATACGAGTACTTTATGAACGCTTGATTACATGCCTTGCCTACGACACAAAATGGGGAGGCTTTTTTTTATATTTATAGCTGAATTTACCACACGCTACTTGAAAAAGACCAAAGCCACCTGTCTATCCAAAAGCTTGGTTTCCTTTTTTCTTAATCGATGTGGTTTTACGCTCCCGTCGACACAATTTAGGTCATTTAGGAGGCGGGCATCCGACCCTGCCTGTCAGTCCAACCTGGGCTGGGGGTGATGCAATATCCTAGTTGTAAGACCGAGCAAGATACTAGATCAAGATTGTTCTCCCCCCTCCAGATTCGAACTCGGGTCTCATGTGTGCGACAGCCGCAGCGAAGCACTTAACCATCGTTCCACAGACGCGGGTCCTTGGTTTATTGAGCAGTTATACACGGTCACTTCAAATATAGTGAAAATAAAGCTCTATGTTTCAAACACCAGATTCCAGGACACATAAAGGTAGGTTTTAAAAAGTAGCATCTAAAGGAATTGAGTCCTGGACTATGCAGGGATCTCATAGAAACATAATGTTATGTAAACTAGCAGACAAATAAACAATCAAATACACTGAATTATAAGGAGGTGGCAAGTACGAGCACAGCTGAAACAAAACAGGCACGGGAGACAATTAATGAACTGAAATTCCTTCATACTGCTCGTACAAGAAAATAGACTTTTTGACCCCGTGATTGATAGTTTAACTCAACAGAAAGACACCTCCATCCACCATCACCCCCACCCCCACCTCCCTCACCTCACTTCTCCACACAGGATCACACAAACCGACTCAAATGGACTTATCATAATATTTCTGTTCTACTAACCTCTTTCATGCATAAGTATGAAGGAATTACTTTTGGGTGTTCAAAATTGGAGTATAGCCGATCTGGAGCCTAGCATTCACAGTTACCCTGGGGGTATTTTTACTTGTTTGTGAAAAAATGGTGAAATGGCATAGGTTTAACGCCCCTATTACACTATTTTTAGGGAGGGGGGGGGTCAAAATGTCCTAAATTTTGAACACTGTGCAATAAGAGAGTCAAAAGTCTACTATCTGTTCAGTCTGGCAGTTGTTCCACCTCATGTTCTTTTTACTGGTAGCCTACTATTACTAATAATAGATAGCATTTGTATAGCGCAAATCCCCGCTCAACAGCAAGCTCTATGCGCTTCGCAATCTATTACCCCAGCAGACCTGAGAGCATTCTGAAACAAACTCAACTTC